GGAAACAAAAGAACAGAAAGACATCGAACGTCACATGAGAAACATGTCAAATGACTTGATAAAGTTGAATGTGTTGATCAACAAGAACAACAACAGTTTTGAGGAGCTGCAATATGGCAACATTATCACAGAGAACGAGTTTGTACGCTCTCTCAAGGTACAGAGGCTTGACATCTCATTTCCAGGTCTCAACCTCCCATGCAGTTCAGAGGCAAACGGTGATCCTGTAAATCTTTCTCAGTCTGACAATGTTGTATTGGTTTATGCTTCTCAACTCTAGGCAGCAGAAAAAGAATCAGTTGAGATGCAGGAGAAGCACAGTCAATTGACCGAGGAGAAGGAAAGACTCCTGAACAGCCTGGTGGAAGCAGAGTAGGTACCAGAGAGGTTCTTTGCTTTGTGCCACAGTCTTTGAACTTCCGCGTGTGTGTCTGTGTTACCTTTCTTCTCCAGTCATCAAACTGAACCAGCAACAGCAAATGTGCTTCTGTCCTTGGAGAAGATGAAAGGAGTTTAATGAATTTTTGAAACGCAGAAACTGAAAGGTGCCTTAGCCGTCTCTGGAACCAGCAAGAGCTGAGAGGATGTTGGCTTTAACGATTCCAGCATGCTTGTGCTGGATGTTGCTGAGATCTGTATGGGAGACTCTGCATGCTATCTCCTCTGCCAGTAACTCAGAGCGAATGTGCTGCACTGGACAATTAATTGGGGTCCATCAGCCCCGTCAGTCTGGGCTTACTTGTTTTTACAGTCATCATGCCATTTTCTAAATTGTGGGGCTTCCTCTCTGATTTCATGCTGCTCTGTTGCTGCCCTTTTACATGTCCCGTATGGAAATTCTTAGTTTCTGCCAAACCATTCAGCTCTGTGTTCAGAATCGATCTTGGGAGTGTGCTGCCACTGATGCACAGGGAGAGCATCTCCTCTGTTGTTTACAAAGGCACTGCTTTCCCTTTCTGTCATTGAAGGCATCAAATCATGCTATGGGAGAAAAAGATCCAGCTGACAAGAGAGATGCGTGCAGCAGTGGATTCTGAGACAGGACAAGGCAAAATCCAAGCCATGAGAACAGAGATTCATAGGATGCAAGT